TATATATATTATTTTCATCGTAATCTGTACTCCATAGTCTGTCAAACTTTTTGGGTCTGAGGATCCTAGAAAGAAAATTTTGTTAATCAGAAGATAAGTAAGTTAAACTCTTTTTTTCTCTCTGGAAAAATACCAAAGGAAGCGTGAATAAGTATGAGCAAAATATATATTTTACCTGATGGTATAAAACAAATATAGCTCCATCTAGAGCTTTAAGTTTTCAGAGAAATAATTAAATTGTTTATTTACCGTTGAGAGTTCTACATATTGGCTCAGTAATGGGATAATAACATCTTTCTTTCTTTCAGGTAGCAGATGTGCTGTATTCATTAAAAACAACTTTTACATTTTTTTTTTATGATTTTAGAGTTGAAGAAAGGCTGCATTCTTTGGCAGGCGGCATTAGCTGTCTTGGAAACACAGTTATATCTAAAATGTTTTAGAGTTAGAGTAATCCATACCACTGCTCCTTCAGGTCCAGTGGTATGGATTTAGTAATTCAGTTTAGATAGAAATTTTGCATCTGACTTTGCGTTTACGAATGATAAACTTTAACAATTCCCCGGTTCTCCAAGCACTGAACCACAGTTAGATCCTGTTGAGGTTTAACTGTAAAAACAAGATTAAGAAAGGAGGGACACTTTAATTGTTTACCTCTAGCTGTTTGTGCTGGCATTACAGAGACAGTAAACTACAAGATGACCCCTGATGAGACTCACTTCCTTTGGTCCTTTATCCCCTCACTACTTGTGTACACATGTGGTACTTATTTATCATAGAAACCATTTTATTGTCATTTTATTGGAACAGATAGCCTGGAGCTGTGTATTGGCTAGCTGCATAACTGTACGATATACAAGATGCTTGAACGTCATCCTCCTCATCCTCCTTTTCTTCTGGTGCTTTCCTTTCTTTTATTTATTTATTTATTTCATTTTTAAAATTTTCATCATTTGATTGGCCGTAGGTGTGCATGAGGGCATGAGCTGTTTGTGATGGACTAGCATCGTGTCCAGAATCTAACCTGCCTCTCACGCAGCATCAGATGGGTTAGGCTTAAGCCCTCTGCAGCTCTTGTTGAATAAGTGGTGAATCATTGTCTGTCTGCTTCTTCTTCACTTATCATTGCCTCAGTAATTTAGTACAAAGTAAAACATTTTTTTTGTTTTTCAGTTTCCTGATTCTTTCCTCTCCATTATTCTGACACAGTTTCGTTATCTTCTAGCTTATCATTTCTGCTCCTTGATTTTCTTCTTCAGTGATATTTCTCTTCTTGCCTCTTACACTGTTTTATCATCACCGCATCACCAGATGTTTCTGTCACTTCATCAGTCCACCTCTGTTTCAAACTGCTTTTCTTAATCCTTCATCTGACATCAGCTGTGTCATTCTGTCAACAACTAACCTCTACATCTATTGTCTGCTTTCCTCATCATATCCACCACCTTTCTGTCTTTCGAATGTTTTTCTTTCTAAAACGTCTTTAATCATTATCATTTTCCTTTTCCTCTTCTTCACCCCACCTTCGTCCCCATTTACCAGTAGTTTCTCAACAACATTGCAATGATCTTGTCTTCCTCCGCTTCATGTTTGCATTCATATGTTTTACCAAAATGATTATGCAAGAAGGCCTTATCATATAGCATCCTTCCTTCCAGCATTATCAGGCAGTGTTTTTTTTTCTCCCTAGATTAAGCTCTTATATAAATGAAAAAGAATAAAACCAATGGTCTGAGAATCACCTGTCAAATCTGACAAAAGCCAACCTTGGTGACTTTGCTGCTAAACAATGTGTAAAAAGAAGATTTGCTTGTGAATTTCCTTCTAATTTGCATGCATTTCATCACACTATGAATTCGTTTAGAGTGCTGACACGATCACTCTCTCAAATGCCATGCTCATTAAGTCTATGGTTATATAGTAAGCCAAGAACAAGTGCACTTACAAACTCTCAAGGAAATTCAGATAAGACCAGCTTTCCCTAAAAACTTTTACTCTATCTTGAAGCAAATAAGAACACAGCTAAATACAAATATTTATCATGTCGTCCCAGTTCTGAGAGCTTCACTCCCGTAACACTTGATATGAGTAATCCATTTTCAGTCCTCCGTACCAACAAAGTGGTCTTTTCTGTGCCAACACCTCAGCTTTCTCACTTTCATGTTTCTGCATAAACAACTAAAAGTAAGATGGGCAATGCTGGAGAAAGGCTTTGAAGCCACCAGCAGTGTCCTGTCACACTCTGCAGATCAGAGAACTTAGGCTTGACCCCCTGGGGCCTTTAAAAGAAAGCAATCTGTTTTTTTTAAAAACCCACCTGCATCTTTACTATAATAATGTATAGGCCTGCCACTCCCTTAAAACTGTTATGAACCTCACTTGTGTGCTTGCATCACGGCAACTGACTCATGCTGATTGGCTCCTGTGCTCTGTCAAAACATGAACACTATATCCATTGAGGGGTTTTAGCTATGGGGGTCTGTACGCTGTTCAAAAGGATCAGATTGCTAATGCTAGCTGACCTTTGTGGTGTTTGTGTGGAGTTTATGCATCTTGAAGCCCATCCAGGTTGCATGAACCATGTCTTGGTTATCACTTCGTGCACCTCTGCTTCGTTTTGCTTGGTCTTCTTTTCGATCCCACCTCCTGTCATTTCACCTCACTCAGGCCTTGTTAATGGCCTCTTAGTCTTTCTTCTCTTTCTCCCCCACTTGCTTAGATCTGTCAGTCTCCCATGATGTAGCCCTTCGACTACTGTACAGAAATTTCTACTTACTGTCTCCTGCTGTAGTTACTCTCCCTGCTCCCTCCCGCGTTCATTGATGTCTGATCTAATTGCTTTTGCTCTAACCCTGGGGACCTGGGCACAGTGTAACAAGCTCCCAGAGGATGCACTTCGCCTCGGCCTTTGTCGCAGTCCCTCAATTGCTGCTTTCTTTTTTATCCGTTTCCTCACTAGCTCTTCCCAGTACATTAATTTATTAGCAGGTCTAATACTGTAGCCCCCCGACAAACAGCATGATATTGTGACCCTGCGGTAACTGATTCTAATCTAAGGCTGGCCACAGCACAATCTTGAGTCAGGAATTGCCAATTTCAACAGGTCTTGTCTGTGTTTTCTTTTATCCCCATCACACAGGCCGCAGACAGAGATACAGAAGAGTAGCTATACAAAGCAAGAAAGGTAGGATGAAGTAAGAAGCAGAGAGGAAAAGAGGAAAATAAACAGGCAGAGATGCGAAGTGACAGTGAAAAAGTGGGTGAAAGACAACCTGATAACATGGAGAGACTCACAGGACCGCTGCAACAAAAATTTTAATAGAAAAGGCAAAATATAAAGATGGAGTCCAGTGAACTAAAGCAGATGGGTCAGTACACATTTTAACAGCTTTGGCTCCACTCAGAAGTAAGAATTTCAAAAATATAACACACATTTTAACTTCTCTCTCTAGCACCTGTTTACTCCTTGATTAGTTTGGTGTTATATATATCACACATCAAATGAAATCCATGAACCGGGCAACCTTAAATTCTTCGTGGAGAAAAAAACAAAAGAAATCTATCTTAAGCAAGCCGTTATTGTATTTTAAGTCCTTTTCGCTAGATATTAAAGAGGTGCCATGAACAGCACAAAAGGAAAGAAATCTCAGATTCTCACTCATGCTCCTGGACTTTCATGGAGTGCATTTTGGAGTAACCTCCAGTCGCCAGTTCAGATTTGTGTAAAGCAGATTCTTACAGAGCGCACTGCAAAAGGGAGAAAAAAGTCCCTCAATAGTACTTCTGTATTTGAGATTTGAAACTCACCTGCAACAGTCAGCTGAACATCACGATTTCTCTCCCACCTCTGTTTTCACACACGAGAGCTGTACAGTATGCATGTGTATGTGCTTCTAGTCTGTTTTGTCTCATAAATTTTCATGAAGAACACCAGCGTCAAGATCAAAACATTTTCTCCTGAAGGTTAATGGGTCAAATGCGTTGATCAAAATCTACTTGTTGCACGCACTACTCTCATTAGAGACATTTAAAGAGAATCATTTGATACAGATACTCTGATCTTCCCCGTGGCACTCTCTAGTGTATGCTGTCTATCTATCACACACACACACACACACTCACACACTGTGTTGGTCCTTCGGGATCAGACAGTGGACTGAATGCAGATATGCCTCTTTGAAGTGAGCAGGCCTACAACTAATGTGTGTATGAGAGGCACACACATGCACACATTCACACATACACTCTGGCTGTGTTGATGCATACTTCTTTAATCAGATCAGGTATTTAATTATTAATATGTGTGTTAAAAGATGACCCTGCAGCAGTGCTGTTTAACCTTTACTGTGGAATAATCCGACGTGCCTGTGTGCGTGTGCATAATCGAGGATTGCATTGCAGTGTTGCCCTCAAGGAATATTGAAACACAATATACACGACGCAGATGCTTCTGGTGATGTTTTAAACATTTATTGTTTTTCTGTGTCTCTTTGTAGGTGTGTGGAAATCATTGCCAAGGAGGGGAGAAGTTTGAAGGAGCTCTATCTCGTGTCTTGTAAAATTACAGACCACGGTAGGATACTTTCAATCACTGTCCCTTTGTTGCAGTCAACCGCCAACATTATCATCATTTCCATTATTGCCCACATTCACCACTGTGATTCAGGACTCATTTGATTTTACAGCTTTCCTCTTATGAGACTTGTAAACAGTGAAAATATTATTGAAAAGTTTCAAGCAGAAGAAAGCAGTGTTAGCTGGAGCTCTTCTGCACATTTACCCACACTAGAGCTTTACCAGAGATTTACCTTTAAGTAAACTCTTTAAATAAACCGAGAAGCATTACTCGGCAGGCCACTCAATGTCAAACCATGCGGTGGTTACTTGATGGCTGACTTTTGTGAATTCTTATATGAGAGGTTAAATAGTGTGCTTTCTGGAGAAATAGTCTTTCAGAGCACATTATATGCGGTATGAAAAGGCTACTCGGGATTTATATACATTTACTTGTGTTGGTGGATTAGAGTTGTTTGTATTGTCTGATGGGGGACATACATGGTGTTTTCATCCTCAGCATACACTCAGGTGTTATATATCTCTTTTATATCCCTGTAGCATCATCTCCTCTTTTTATTTTGTTTACACTACCTTGCCTCTCTGCTTGATTCCATTCTGCCATATGTTTTGCGGAATATTTGAGTCTTTCATCAGCTGCAGTACAATACACAGTTGGAGTTCGTCGGTACTGAAGCATCGGGAGTGCAATCCTGGTTCTTTGTGTGGCACTGTTTAGTTGTGTTTGTGCATGTGTGCACCCTTCAAATTGCACAAATGACACTCCCAGCAGCGCAGCCGACTATTTTCTTTGGGTGCCTGCTTTCTCCAATCTACTGTTACTCGAGTCTGAAGGGTTTTTACCACTTATGCTATTTCCTGTTATCTTTGCAGCTCAAAATACCCACAATCTGTATCGTAACAAAAGCCAGCCCCCCCACCCCAAAATAAATATTTGGTGTGATGCATGATAGCCTGAGTTTGATCGTCAAAAAAAGTTTAATTTGACTTTAAGCTGTAATAATTCCCAACCGCAATGGTTTGTCTGTTTTCTTTTGCTTTTATATTATGTTAATTTGTTATTGTTTGAATAATTCATCTATTCAAATTTCCTGTTCGGAATTTCATAAAGGGACTAATGAGATAATAAACTAATGGATGTTCTGCTTGTTTGTCACATGGGGTTCTCTTATTTTTGATACTTAAATGTGTTAAACTTAAGATAACAAGCCGTCTGTTCTTTTTTTTTTTTTTTTGATAGTTAGGCTTTTCACCTGTTGACTTTTAAGTGTTGTTTCTTCAGTTTTCTTTTGTTTTGCAACTCACTGTAGTTTGACTCTTTAGCTATTAGAAATTACACAAAAAACTAAGCTGTTGCTTGTTAGTACCATGGTGATTTTTCTATAGTCTATCGAACTTTGGCATTTGATTTTCTTGATGTAAATGCAACGTCTGTGAATAGTTTTTAGCTGGTAATTGTTGTTAAAATGTCTATAAAATGAAACGTTAATATACCTGAGTGTCAAACTGGAACTATAGCGCTTGAAGTTTATCAACACAGTCGAGAGAAACTCATCGGGCTTTGAGAGGATTTTCATACATAACAGCACTATTGTTGGATCATGTGGCCCCAAAACGCTTGTTTCATTATAAATGGAGAACATGTAAAACAGTGACAAGTGTGGCACCCTGGGCTGACTCCTTGTTTGATTGGTTTTCTTCCATAAAATTTGGAACGTCAACAACAATAAATTACTTCAGGCTTATTGTGTGCAGAAGAACAAGTAGCCCGAACACGCACAGGACAACATCTTGGAATGTGCGATCCACTTGTCTTAATGGATCCAGGATGCTTGGATCCATTGGCAAGTCATTTAATTTTGTTATAAATTGGATTTTAGGCTTTTCCTGTTTGATTTTGCACTTGGAGAAACACCACAGTCAACAATTTATTACTCCGACTCTTGGCTTTTTTCCTGACCGAACTACTTCTATTACATTTGGAAGGCTGCACACTGCCCCACACCACACCACTACAGTTTTCTCTGTTCTCTGCAAAGTAGGGACAAATGATATAGAAAATACTTAATGTTGCCGTCACTAAGCGTTAACCTTCCATAACATAATCATGATTATTTGTGTTGTAGATTGTAGACTCGAATGGTTAATCTCTAACGTGAGCTACCATTTGCTAACGATTTCTGTGAATTACACTAACAACAGTCACCTTGACCTTTCTGAACTAGAACCTGAACTGCATTTGCGAGTGAGTGAAACATTATGTAGGCGTGTGTCTACTGGTGTCTGATTAATGACTCCAAAATCACAATAGTACATTAAACCAGGAATGTTCACAGGCGCCCGGTATATATCCCCTTCTCTCTGCTTGTGTCTCTAATCCTTTTGACCAAGATGAATTAGCGATATCTGATCTTCTTCCTTCACTAATGATCCCTCTGGCCCTCTTTGGCTGCTGATAGGGTCTGTGTGTTTTTATGTTTGTGTGTACATTTATCTCTTTCCAGGATAGAGATGCCTGTTCTTAGAGCTCTGTACTCTAACACAATGATTGGTGGATTTCCTGCTTCAGCCTCTGAAAAATTAAATCACAGAAATGAGATTTTACATCTGCCAAGCTGGCCCCTGTTTTTTTCCGCCCATCTCCGCGCTAATTATTTTTATTAATGGCTTCTGTGAGTGCATTTGAGATGTCCACAAGCCTCTTACGTTTGAGTGTTCTGTTTTTTCCTCCCAGCTTTTGCTTCCTGTGTGATTTTATAGGAGCTTTGAAAACAGATATAAAAGGAGACAAAAAGACAGGTTTAGATGACAGACATGAAAAGCTGGCAATATGTAATTTTACTCCCAGTGCAGATGGTTTCAGAGATTATCTTGTGAGGAAGAGGAAGTAAATGGAAAAAGTGAGGATAGAGCATTTTGGGGTAATGATCTTACTGAAAGCCCAGTTAGTGCCATGGAAAGAAAAATTACTTCCAAATCTTGTGTGGCATTCATCAAAGAACATCGTACTAATTAGCCTAAATAACATTTTGGTTGCAATCAAAGCAGTATAGAGGTTTGTTAAACACCTGGATTGTCTGATTAACATATTTCATATGGTTTGTGATTTTCAGCAACTAACACCTACAACTTATGATTGATGATAAATAATGGGCACTGAAAGATTTTATTAAACATCCTAAAGCGTTCTTTTCAGATTTCCTGTGTCTTGCATTACAAGTGGTTTTCTCTTTGGGATACTTAGTCTTCATACACATGGTCTTTTCAATCTTTTCAGACATTTTTGCTGTTCTCGTGTTACTTTTAAAGGGATTAACGGCGAACAGAAAGCTATAATCCTAAACCAATATGAAGAATTTAACAATATGATCCAGGCTAAAAGCTACACAATTGTTGCAGCTAAAGGAAAAAAGGAAAGCTGGCAAAGAAAAAAGTTTACAAGATATCTTTCATTAAATTAATGTGTTTATATTCTTATTCCTATTCTTATTGTTATTTCAATATTAGCCTCATTCTTTCAGCTGCAACGCTGCCAGTGTTAAAATAATCTTGGGAGCAGGTAAAGACCAAATGAAAAACATATTTCAAACATGTAGGCATGGTTTGTTTTAGAAATGTTTTATAAAGCTTGCAAGGCTTTTTACAGTTCTGGGATTTACAGTTCACTATGTAAAGGCCATTGAGAGTTCTTGCTGCCAATAGAAAAGAGAAAATGTGTGACTCATTGATGTTCATCAATGGAAGTGAAAGGCTTTAGACAGTGTCTGAAAAACCAGAGACCCTGTCGCTAACCCCCCAGGATGCTTGTTGTGCTTTTATGTGTGTTGATCTTGGGTAAAACTTATTTACCTTTAATAGTACAGGTGAATCAAGAAGTTGATGTTAAATTAATTATTTTAAATTCATTTGCGTGTGTTAGTTACCTTGATCCTTGGTACTCATTTGCTGTATTCTCTTGTTCTTGGAGTCGAGTAATCATAATGGGATACATTTAGTGTAACCAAGACTCAAAGCTGTGCTCCTTCTAAGCAATTCAGAGTCTTGACCCTCTGTTTAAGAAGGCTTTATCTATAAAGTGCCCTCTTATCACTGATGACTTTTGGGACTGCAAAGGCACTTTTGGGACATTTAAAAATTATGTTTAAATATCCGGTTAAGTAGTTAGTCTGAAAGGGAGATACTGGGGTCTAGAAACAAATTTCCCATGTTATAGATTTTGTAGAAAAGAAGGGTCAATTAAAGCCACTAGAGATAATGTAAAGGAAGTATTAATAAAAGAGATTATATTAAAAAGCATTTTCTTCTAGCAACTGGAAAGATACAATGTGGTGATTCACTATAGAGCAATGCAGGTGGCTCACAGACAACACATGCCACTTTATTTTAGAACTATTCGCACACATTTTTGTGATTTATATCGTTATCGGGACGATAGATGTCTTAATATCGAGATATGAGATTTTGGTCATATCGCACAGCCCTAATGGACACAATTATTGTAATTTTGTCTCCGCGCAACAATGATTTGTATTTTAGATTAAATAATCAATGTGATTTAAGTGGAGGCTTTCAGCTTTAATTAATCTTTAATTGGTTTTCAAAAGTATCGCATTCATATTTATACATGATGCTGCATTTTCAAAGAGCAGACACAAGTGGACCATTAACTGACCTGTAATTTCATTAATAGGTTAGTCGTGTCCTGTCAGTATTGAATGGCCAAATAAAAAGATAAAAGACCTAGATTTAATTCCAGCTTTTGAATTTGCATTTGGTATCTCTACACTGGAACTCTCAATGCGAGGTCCAAGGAGACTTTGAAGCAAGTGACCATTTAGACTGAGAGGTCAAAATTATTATTGGAGAGGTAGTTACAACGGGAATGTAAAAAGAAGGCAAGGACTCGCCAGCTCTGCAACACCTTGAGTGTGAAAGACGGTCAGTGATCACAGAATTCTTTCCTTGGTTTTTTTTTTTTTTTTAAAGAACCCAACATCT